TACCTGTCTTTTATACTTATAACGTTGTAATATAATTCCCAGATTTTCTGCCGTGCCTATTTCTGCCGTGAAGCCGTAATTCGTTTCGGTTTGAAGGGTGGGGCAGCCGTTGTAACTATACTTGAGACCTTAGAACTTATATCTCAGGTAAGTGGCGCATTTACGTTGTGGATGTCTATGGGCTCCAGTAACCACTTAACACCAGGTGGGCTGTGAGCTCGTTCACCTATCTAAGCAATAAAAAAAAAGTATTCAAAATTATATGTATATGGTCTAAATGCGTTCCAATTAATCAATAGCTGTGTAAATAAAGTATAGTATTGTCTTCCAAAACAATCACTCCATAATCATTACAATACTTCGGTACTGTTTTAGCAAGTCATAAGTTATAGACACAATTAAAACTACTTTTAGGATTTAATTTGGCGTTTTTTAAATTGTCTTTTATTACTGCCAACGATTCAGTTACTATATGATTTTGCGATCGCGGACTATTAACATTATTATTGCTACTGTAATGAAGTGTTCACAGGGCATAAGGAGAAGATTAACCATTCGTATTTCTGACGCAATAGGTACATTATGGAAAGAATAGCTTCCTATAATATGTGTCTGCGTCCCGTTCTCTCTCTCTCTCTCTCTCTCTCTCTCTCTCTCTCTCTCTCTCTCTACATGAAAGTATTTAGTGATATACATTCACTGGATCGACAATGTACAAACTTGGTTAGATTACGCGCATTATTGATGCAGGTAACATCGTACGTATAACTTGAGCATTGATGAGAATTCACAACGAAGTAGCTTTACTTTTAAACTATACTTTATATACTTTTAAAAGGTATAATTTTTCATCGTTTATTATTAAAACTGTAACAACATTTAGAGCTTATCGAAAATTGTCAAAAGCTTAGCTGTACATTGTACCAGAATGATTTGTTTGTCTTATGCTTGACCTTTGTTTTAAATAGCTTTTGTTTTTGTATTTCGAACCTAAAATTACTGTATTGAACTCTGAGGAATTTCAGTTTCAAACCTTTTTGTTTTTATAGGTAGTTAATTAACACGTAGCAAGTATTATTAAAAGGCCTACGTAATTCGTAGAAGTAGCTACGGAGCGTTCCGAAATTTTAGTATGAAATATTAGGTAGAGAATTTCGTTTTTTTTAAGACTAGCTGACCCGCCAGACTTCGTAGTGCCTCAATCGATAAATAAAAGACCTAAACTTTTGTATAAAATTAACTTAAAACAAACAAAAGGAATCCGTCCGACGGGGGTTACGTCAAAGGAAAAACAAAATTGTTATTTTTATTTAATTCCGAGCATTTTCATATTTATCTATCTACCTTCTAAGCCTGCACTGGACTTTCACAAATAATTCAAGACCAAAATTAGCCAAATCGATCAAGCCGTTCTCGAGTTTTAGCGAGACTAACGAACAGCAGTTCATTTTTATATATATATAGATATAGACAATCTAGTACCTTTAGCACCATGTAGTTGAGAAAAAAATAAATTGACAATTGTTTTTTTTTTTATCCAAGAAAACATTTCTTAGTTTTTTATATATTTTTCTTGTTGTAGCTGTATCTAGGTAGTTCTCGACTTATTTAATCAAGTGGAGTTGAACTCACCTTAAAATATATAGCCAAATTGTCGATGATTGACTGCTATTGCACGCTTCATATGAGACCGTCTGAATAATTCGCGTCAGGAAATCGTAGGATTTTTTTATTTTTTTTTATTGCCGTATAGGCAGACGAGCATACGGCCCACCTGATGGTGAGTGGTGACCGTCGCTCATGGACGTCAGCAATGTCAGGGGCAGAGCCAAGCCGCTGCCTAGCGTTTAATACTCTCCACAAGCCTCGTTTGAAGAAGGACATGTCATAGCGCTCGGGAAACACCGTGGAGGGGAGCTCATTCCATAGCCGGATGGTACGTGGCAAAAAAGACCTCTGGAAACGCACTGTGGATGACCGCAGTGGCTCCAGGTAGTACGGATGAACTCTACTCCGGAAGTAATTAACACACTGATAACTTCACAAAATTGTCTTCTTCTAATAAAACTGTTCCGTCACTAGCTTACAACGTGAATTCAACATGTTGGGTACAATGTCTGAGCGACCAGTTATTTTGTACATAGCCAAATAAACTTTTGACGCTCTGAACTTTAACTCCGATGGGTCAATGATCTCAGCTAGACAATTTCATAAATAAGTTGCACGGTAGTAGCCTCGTGAATAAATTTTACTTTTTATGTAAATAGTTATTTTACGAAGAATGTTTTGCCTTTATTTAAATTCTTTGCTGTGTTTTGGGGTAGGTCTAAGTTTATGTGGTCTAGAATAGTATTTTTTTTAATTTAGATTTGTTGACAGTGTATAGAGCGTGAACTGTATTTTCGTGCTAGCTTCAATAAACACTACATTCAGAGCGAAGGATTTTTATTTCTTGATGTACAATACGTGCACGTAAGACTGCATTTTCGGTGTAACTGCAACTAACTGTGTTGCCATACTTATTGGTGTGTTCCCACATTTAGAAACAATCATACAAAATGTTATGTTTAAGATTGCCCTAAGCGGACAGATGAACATAATATTACATGTTAAAGCGCTAAACAAAGTGGAGGAAAGTTATTTATGAAGCTAAGTAGGAACTGACAAAAAAAAACTATGGATGAACTCTGCACCGATAGCGGGCAGTGCAATGGTAACCAGAGACGATGGAATTATCACAGAACAGTAGATCCAGAGGTTCCACCTGATCATATCTCATCCCGTGAGTGTTGTAAGACATTTTCTCTATAATAGGGAGAGGGGGAGAGGGAGAGAGGGAGAGAGGGAGAGAGGGAGAGAGGGAGAGAGGGAGAGAGTATTCTTTATTGTACACAAAATGAATAAACAATGCGAAACATTAAATACAAAAAAAGTACAATTGGGTCTTATCGCTAAAAGCGATCTCTTCCAGACAACCATCCGGTGGACAAGAATCATTTGGAAATTAATTTCATGCGGTATACCTATCAATGTGTCGGTGTACCTACTAGTAGCGTACTACGATCGCCAACCGGCATTTACTGGTGATTGCGAGCCACGCCACGGATAGGATCCAAGAGTGCTGCCTATTTTTGCCACAGACAGTCATATTTTCCAGTTTTTTTTTTTTTTATTGCTTAGGTGTGTGGACGAGCTCACAGCCCACCTGGTGTTAAGTGGTTACTGGAGCCCATAAACATCGACAACGTAAACGCGGCACACACCTTGAGATATAGTTCTAAGGTCTCGGTATAGTCACAACGGCTGCCCCACCCTTCAAACCGAAACGCATTACTGCTTCACGGCAGAAATAGGCGGGGCGGTGGTACCTACCCGTGCGGACTCACAAGAGGTCCTACCGCCAGTAATTACGCAAATTATAATTTTGCGGCTTTGATTTATTGCACGAAGGAGGATAGTCATTATATCTATAATCCAATGGTAACTTCGACCTCTTCGCCTTACATTAGATAAACTGTGATCACGTTGATTCAATTTTGAAATAATAATAAAAAAGAAAAAAAAAGAAGGATATGCTAACTAAACACAATATTATTATATTGTTATAAGATTTATCTGAAGAAATTTTAATTGTGGCGAGGCTTGGGAGTGGTCTAATATCCAGCAGTGAGTGGACGTCTGTGGGCTGAAAGATAAATAGATAGAAAGAAGCAAATTCCTTTTTTCCTTTTTTTATTACCCGTTAAATTTGAAAATGACTCCTTTAAACATTGATTTAAAAAATTAACACAAAAATGAATACACAACGAATGATCGATACAGAAAGTAAAAAAAATATAAAATAATTATTATAACCATAGTTAAAAGGAAGTGAATCTTGCGATAAATTAAAACACGATGTGTTTATTTTAATTTTCTGAAAAAAATGTTATGGTGATTAAGATGGTCTTAACTAAATGTTTTCTCCGAAACGAAATTTACGTTCTGTTTTATTAAAAAGCTCTTTAGATAATTTTTAATGAGGAAATGCACATTACTGGAACGTGTTTTCATGTAATGGAAAAAAAAGTGAGAACCTTGCCGAAAAAGATTGTGACGGATTGTGCGTGTGATATTATTAACTAGCGACCCGCCCTCGCTTCGCTTCGGAAACTGTAATTTATTATTGATTTCTCCACGATTTAATGGATGTTATTATACACATAAACTTTCATCTTTAATCATTCTATCTATTTAAAAAAACCGCATCAAAATCCGTTGCGTAGTTTTAAAGATTTAAGCATACATAGGGACAGAGAAACCGACATTGTTTTATGCTTATTAATGTAGTCGGAGCGAATCTTTATTTTTAGTCGACGAAACTAGAACGAAAATAGTCATATTCACAAGTAATTAAACACGAATGGTACAGTAACATTAATTGCAACGAATCCTGATAAAAGAAAAGCGTGGCGAATACAATATAGATAAAGAAGATGCAAAAAAATTAAATTGGATGATTTTTCAAAATGAAAATTCTCTGAAGTCTTAAATGAAAGTAAAACTTATATAAGTTTATTGAAACTTTTGCAATATATTTTATTTAGTTTGAATTTATTTTCCAAATTTAATTCTAAGAATACCTTAAGTGATTTAAAGTAAATGATTACATACAATAACAAGAAATCACTATGAATTTACATTTTAGTTCGACTAGAGGTCTTTTATATTTAAAAAAAAACTTTAACCACATCTTTAAGGTAACAACACAAGGTAAGGCAATTTCAGGAATAATTTAATATTCGGTTATAACAAAAATGAAAGCGAGAAGAAAAATCTTAAAACTTCTCAAAAGTCGAGCCATGGTGGTACTCGAAGAGGTTCAATAGCATTAATTGTCCCGCGTATAACAAGGCTTTTTTGTGTTGGGCCGCCGCGCGACGGTCGATGGGAGGCGAGCTATCCGCGGGGAAGGGAGGTGAAGAGGCTTCAGTATGCCCCAAGCCTCAGTCGTGGCAACCGCGCGCGTGCCCCTCCGTAAGGCAAACACACGCGGTTTGTAGCAAAAAAAAAAACGCACGCTACAGGTGCCTACACGTACCACCCTCGCACATGATAAATAGTCTTGTTTTTTCCTCGACGCTGCGCCCTACGAATCGAGTGGTAGGAAATAGCCAATACTAATAAATAAACAACTTTTCTCTCAATTTTTTTTTTTGTTTTGTTACAAATTAGTTTGTTTACGCTTCTTTTCAGTTTAGTTATTATTATTATTTAATGATGTTTACGCTGGTAGTATTGTGGTTAGGATTCATTCATAAAGCTTAGGGTAAGTAGGGTTGAAAGTCGCGCGTAATCGTACTGCGCATGATCTGCGCAAGAGGTACTAAATGGGTCTGTATATCTAAGGTGTACGGAGCACAAAGCGGTTAAAGCGAAATTTCCTGTGACCTAGATTTTCTTTCGGGGATAACACCTTGGTGGGAAGTCGTTAATCATGATACAAAGTTCGGGATCCACTATAACCTTTATCGATGATCTTCGAAGCTAATTGAAATGTTATATTTTAAAATAATTCAAATATTCACAATATTGGTGTTGTGATATTTATAAATAATTCTCAAAGATACCAAAGTTATTAAATCAAGGGAATTCCGAAACTGTATTACTGTAAAGTGCCTGTTTTATATTATATTTTAAAAGGTAGAACTAGATAGACTATAGATATATTGCTATCGTTTTAGATTATTGAGTTTCATCTTGTTTGTTCTACGCTCAATATAACTAATAAAACATTGAGATGTTGTACGTTTGACATTAGAATTTATCTCAACATGACGATTCTAATAAAACTTTCTGGACGCTATAATTCTGCGCGCAATTTAAAAATCTTTCTCTCTTATCAGATATAGTTTTAAACGTAAATTAGATTTCTAATACTTAAGTGAAGTCATTATTTTTTTCTACATTTTTTAGATTCCTTTCTATTTTAGATAAACTTGTGCTTATTGAATATTAGAGCGGCATTAAATGAGGAGGACTCTTTATGGAGTATTTAAAAGTTTGTCGTTGTCAAACTTCTATACTTCACGACTAGTTGTCAAATTTATTACACAGATAAGAGATTGGTGTTTATGAGGAAGTTATTGTTGTTAGTATTTTTGTCTTAAGTATTTGTCTATCGGCCTGTTTGTTTATCAATGGAGAAAGCCGATTTTAGAATTACGAACTGCTCAAATGAGATAATGGTTGACTCCCATCTTTTACATCGATTGGAATGCACTTTTTTCCTGACATTAAGTGAACTCTCTTGCTAGTCATAGTCGATCCTTTGGGGACGATATACACACAAGACTTTTAGTGTTATCTGTTTATGAGGTATGTTTTAAAATACATTATGACTCGGTTCCCTTGATCGGTTTTGCAATCCTGCGTTTTTATGCCGTGAACTAGTTAAGGAAGAATCAATGTTTTAGCAAAACCTCATGACGCTTTAACCTCGCGTATCAAAGAAGCGGCGCAGCGCTAGAACCTCACAGACCGTGAGCTTGATTGCTCAATTTCAGTCCCCACTTTCCTGTATAAATGTTAGACGAACGACAGTTTTCTTTTTCAATGTAGCTACTACTAATGCTTACTGGTGGTAGGACCTCTTGTGAGTCCGCACGGGTAGGTACCACCGCCCCGCCTATTTCTGCCGTGAAGCAGTAAAGCGTTTCGGTTTGAAGGGTGGGGAAGCCGTTGTAACTATACTGAGACCTTAGAACTTATATCTCAAGGTGTGTGGCGCATTTACGTTGTAGATGTCTATGGGTTCCAGTAACCACTTAGCACGAGGTGGGCTGTGAGCTCGTCCACACATCTAGGCAAAAAAGAAATAAATAAAAAGCTATGTTTCGTTATATCGGACGCGATTTACTTCACGTTTACACGCTGTAAATGTGTATCAAAGGGCCCATAAAATTTTATGACATTCAGGTTGCTTTGTTAATGCCGTATCGATGTGAATATTCGATTTTATGTCGGGAAAAAGACTGCCTTTGTGACGCGGTTCTTGAATCGATTTTAAAGTTTTCGGTATTTTACACCTTAGTGTATATATACTTGTATATATATATATGTGTTGGACTTATCATGTGAAAGACCTTACTGAAACCCCACTTAACGAGTGTGTGCGCCGGGCCTCGGTTCGCAAACTGTGGAAAACATCTGTCAAGGCTTTAATGAGCAAGAATTCCATATGACCACGACTGCTCTGCTAAGAGCAACCGATTATGATGATGATGATGATGATGATGATGTATATATACATATGTGAATTACTATAAATGAATTTGCAATGAACTTGGTTGGCATTATAATATTTGCTATTAGAATAAAACTCATTTCTACTATAGAGAAACGCTGCATTTGTCCACATAAAAATTAGATCTGTAATTGCTATGATTTGTCTTACATCGAAGGACTTCTTTCAGAGAAGTCCTCATGATAAGTTGAGGTTTAATTTCGCTAGCATTAACGTCCATCCATTCAAAATTAAAGTCATAATATATGGTTGCTTTACGGTAGACACACAGATAGAATTTACAAGTCTGATAAAAATCGATATTTGCATTAGCGTAATTGGTCTGTTTCGTGTTTGATTCTCGACGATAGTATAAGACAATAGTATAGTACTGTTAAAAACAAATTTAATGAATAAAAATCAACTCTGTAAATGTCTAAATACTACACAACAGAAACAATCAGATATGTAAGCGTAATAATGACTGTTTGATAAAATAAATAAATAATAGTTTAAAAAAACTAAAAAACACGCTTTATATAAAATTCAACTAAAAAATAGAAAATAAATTTTAATAAATTTAAATTGAGAAAAGTGTAAAAAACATATATTTTATTGTAAAAAAAGCGTGGGGTGCTTTTTAAGATATTATTGCATTAATAATTCTTCTACTCATATCTGTCAGAAAAATATTTATAACTAATAACACCATGCACCCCAAGCTTTTTTAAAACTATTATATATATTTAATTTTTTAGTTGAATTTCAATATTTTTAATTTTTATTTTTTTAATTTTCTTTTATTTTTTTTTAAATATTGATTTGTCATCGGTCCTCGATAAATCTACAAAGTTTGAATGAAATCTGGCCGTTTGAAGTGGGTCAAAATCGCGTCTAAAGGAGTCAGTTACAAACATACAAACGTACATACAAGTGAAGCTAATATAAAGCGTGTAAAAAATGGTTCGCTTCCGATTCTAAACATTCAGAATAATAAAAAGTTATTGTATGAAGGTTCCACGCTGAAACACAGGTGTCGCCTCGATGCTTAACAACGACATTTTAATTAAAATCCGAAGGCTGTATTTCCGGTCTCGTGCTACGGGTAGCTATTGTTTTTGTTTTATTGATTTCTGCTTTATTGTCACGAGTTTCCATTGCATTTTTGTTTGGTATTCGCTTTAGTTTCTATTCGTAAATATTGAAGAATTAAATCGCCAATTGTTTTTAGTATTTTAGTTTAATTTTAGTTTAGTAAAATAAATATAATACATCTACCTTTGGCCGCGACTCCGTCCGCGTGGAATAGGTACTTTGGCATAACGCTAAATTTTACCCCCCATTTAATTTATGTAGAACGTGAAAATATTTTTGAATTATAGAATGTAAAGTAGCTATTTAAACCCCTATTTTGAAACATTCTTTATTGGTGCTCCACTTGTATTGGTCTTACCGTGATGTTATATAGCCTATAGCCTTTCTCGATAAATGAACTATCTAACACTGAAATAATTTTTCAAATCTGATCAGTAGTTCCTGAGATTAGCGCGTTCAAACAAACAAACTCTTCAGCTTTATAATATTAGTACAGATAATAATTCTAAAGCTGATTTCTTGCTTCGCTGGTGCTAAGGTAACTAAGAAAGCCTTATGATATTGGGTCTACTTTATAATTCAAATACATTAGAAGACAGATTTTGCCAAGCTCGTTGCGTTTTGGTATCATTTGTAGCACCCATTACTTTGAGGTCAAAGATTCGATTCTAAATAAGTACCGCTTGACATTTGAGAGCTATTGTTACATGGTCCTTAAGTAATGACAATTGGTAACACATCAACAATATGTAAAATTAGAGCGTGTTGTATAAAATCGGATTTTTTTCCTGTGCTTAAAAAAGTTATTGTAACAAAACAAAACACTAAATGTAATATGCATGAATCCATAACCTGAGGTAGTATTCTGAGCATTAATAAAAATAAATTCATAAAAAATCGACATTCAATTTATACGCAAAACAGGGACTTAACTAGTGAAGCATATCTAAGCATTATGAACTGAATCTTAATCAAAGTCGATACCTAACCAAGGCCAGTAAAGCACCGGCATGAACTAAGCCGAAAACCGGTCCACTCTGATAAGAAAATTAATTATTAAATCTCTAACTAAATAATCTATTATCTTCTAAAATGTTACTACTGTTTTGTTTGAAATTTTCGAAGTGAAACTTCTTGGCGCGTATGAAGGTATTTTTTTACGGATGAAACGCAATATAATAATAATATTAGTGACACGAAAATGTGGGAGGCTTTTGTCCAAAAAGAGGTAAAGAGCGAAACACTAAAGCTTTAGTATTTTAAGAATATTGGTCATACTCAATTTTTTTAAACAACAATACAAACGAATTTTGGTTTTGTATAAAATGAAACAATCATTGAAGAGAAGCACTAATTAATAAAAATCAATTTAAAAGCAAATAAGGACATTTTTCGACTAATGAAATTAATTTGCCGTGGTGGTAATACGCAGCGAATATTCGAGATGCTTTAACTAATAACCAAACATCGATGATTTTTTTGATTCGATTGTACCTACAGTTAATCACAAATCAGATTCGGATACCTATTTATATGTAGTTAGGCGGTTGCATTTAGATATCATCTGTGGAAGCCCGTTAACCGCATCGAAACAAAAAGGCCATACGTACAAACGCAAAAAAATAAATAATTAAAAACCTAGAAAAGTAATTAAAGTGAAATAACATAGGTCTCATAAAAAGTTGTCGTAAACACGGCCCAAGATAGATATGCCTGTGGTACAGCGCGCGGCTTTGAAGTTCTTTGTCCTGCTGTAATTTTACGGGTGGTGGCCTTACGTAAA